GCCTCCCTCAGCCTCCCCCAGCCTCCCCCAGCCTCCCCCAGCCTCCCTCAGCCTCCCTCAGCCTCCCCCAGCCTCCCCCAGCCTCCCTCAGCCTCCTCCAGCCTCTCTCAGCCTCCCTTAGCCTCCTCCAGCCTCCCCCAGCCTTCCCCAGCCTCCCTCAGCCTCCCTGCTCCCGTGGCTCTGACTGCCTCCAGTCTGATTTGAACCGCTGCATCCTGGGCTTGTTCTGTCAGTTTCAGGGGCTTATCAGGAATGGCCTTCTGGGCACAGTGGGCCTCATGCCTGCATTTCAGGGGTCCGAGTCTCACGGCCCCTGGGTGACCCCTTAGGTGTTCGGACAGATTTGAGGGATTCCTCTGGGTCCTTGTTTGAGCAACATTTATTACAAAAACAGCTGGGATGGCAGTTCTGTGGGCCTGAGAGCTGGACACTTCTCTCTGCCATCTTGGCAGTGGACAGCTAGCTATGGGGAGGGGGCCCAGCCCCCTTCCAGCCCTGACTCAGAACCAGGTTGAGAGGCAGCCCCTGCCCAGGGGCTGAGCCTGGGCTGCGAGCCTCCTTTCAGAGCCTCCTTCTCATCTACAGTAGGGGTGGGGACCTGCCTGTCCTCCTCCCAGGGTGGGTGAGGTGGCACGGGTCTGGGGGCGGCTGGGCTGGTGCAGGGAAGTGGTAACCAGGGGTCCCCTGACCCCCACCATGGTCCTCTGGAGGCCACTTCTGGGAACAGGGCCTCTCTGCAGGGTTCCCCCACCCTGGGGTCCCCTGACCCTGAAGCTGCAGGAAACCCTGGAGACCCCTACCCATGGTCTCTGAGGCCTGGGGGATCCATCCCCTAAGCAGTAGAAGAGAGTGAGCTGGGTGTCCAGGCAGGACTTGCCTCCGTGGATCCCCCCATTCAGGCCAGGGTCCCCACTGGGTCGAGGGAGGTGAGGCCCAACAGCTGGCAGTTGGATTCGTCCTCTGACGGACTGTCACAGTGGACCCCAAGACATAAAATGGTGGGGCAGTGCGTCTCCCGTCTGGCCTCCAGTCAAAGCTGTCACTGTCCCTAGGTCCCCCTGCCATGAGTCCTGGGTTTGCCAAGCAAGCTGGCAGGGCTCTCTCCTGGCTGGGGCCCGAGGACTGCCTGACGCTCTACCCTAACCCTCATCTACCCAGGGCTGCCCAGAGGGGACGTCCTGGCTGGCCACTGGCCAGACTCCCAGGAGGCAGTGCCAGCAGGCCAGGAGCACGTGCCACAGGCGCATGAGGAGGACCAGGAGCCGGGCTCGGAGGTCCTCCAGGGGTGTGGCAATGGATTTGGCCCGGCCACAGCACAGGCCCAGAGCTGCCCCCAGCAGGACGCACACGGAGAGCCGCAGGAGCAGGGAGCTGCCGCCTGGCAGGCGCTGGAGCAGGGACTTGCGGCGGGGCAGGCGCCGGCCCGACACTGTGGGCCGAGGCGGGGCGGGTCAGTTGTGGCCTGTGCCCTGACCCTCTCGGGTGAGGACTGGCCAGGGGCTTCCCCTCGGAGGGAAAGGGATGGAAGGAGACCCAGGCTGCCGGGCCACTGTCCTGTGCCCATCAGGATGGACATTTGGGAGGGTTGGGGGTGACTCCCAGAGTCCCTATGGGATGGGGATCCCCACTCCTGGCTAGAGACAAACTGCACCATGGGGGGACACTGCTCCCCAGCTGTGTGCACCCAGGACCCCAGTGTGGAGCTCAGCTTTGGAGCAGACAGGGGTGGCACTGTGGGGCCCGGGGAGATGGGGGCACGGGGACAAGGTGTGGGGCTGGGACGTGCAGGAACTCCTTGTGGGTGGAGGCCCAGAGCGCTGGGCAGATGGGGCTTGGGCTCAGAACTCACCCTTGACGGTGGCCCTGGTGTCCCTGCTGGCGATGTCTAGGAGGGAGAGCACAGATCCCTCAGCCTGCCGGGCGCCCAGCCCTGCTGGTCTCTCCCCGACCCCAGCCCAGAGGACCAGCAGCCGCCCAGCCCCAGGCAGGGCCCACTCCTCAGGGCCCTGACCCTGCGTGCACAGCGGGATGGAGAACAGTCCTTGCCCATCAGCAGCTGCCCCACTGACCACGACCCTGTGTCCATGGGACCTATTGCCCAGGTTTTACTGGGGATCTACCTGGGAAAACAGAACAGGGACTGTGGTCCCTTCTAGGGGTCTGGGGTCCTGCCAGAGCTGTGTGGGCACTGCGGGCACCACCCTCTCCCAGACCCTGATGCTGGCCCGCGTGCCCTCTTACAATGAATGGCCGCCTCCAAGGGCTCTCGGAACCGTACGTGCCTGGAAATCCTCTGTGGGTCGGCCCCGGGAGGCCCTGGCTTGGGCTGGCCGCGTCTCAGGATGGAGCGGGGCTGCTTCCTGTCACTGTCCTGGCCAAGAGTGGGAAGCAGGCAGCGGTGAGCACATTTCAGCAGAGTCCTCACTGCCCCCTGGGCTTTATGCAGAGGGACAGGTGTGGAGACCCCCGAGCTGCCCTCGGCCCCCCACCCTGCCAGTTGCTATTACATGGAACCCGGACAGTGCTGAGCAGCAGGGCAGTCACCGCAGGCCCCTGTCCAGCCCATACTCTGTGCCTCCCAGTCCGAGTGGGGCACAGTAACGTTTGCATGTTAATAAGAGGAATGACMCATCCTAAGGTGACCCCAGGGTAACCGGCCACTGACGGAGGACTCTCCGCCTCAGGGTGGGGAGCCTGCCCTGAGTCCCACTGAGTTCCTGCAGGGTCTGTCTCGGGGCCCCAAAAACCAGGCCTGGAAAGGCTGGTGACCAGGGATCAGGCGGGGAGGGACGGGGGTGCAGAGCTCTACCCTGTCCAGAACCCCCTCATACAGATGAGGGGCAGGGCCTGGACAGGGCTTGGGGACCCACCAGCAAGGCGCCAGGCACCTCCTCCCTGAGGGGAGATGCCAGCCCTGGCCCCTTCCTCTGCATTATCTCTGGCTGCTGTTCTGGCCCCTGTAGGGACTCGGGGGACATGGAACATGGGGATGGCGTGGGGAGGGGCCCTGGCTTAGGGGGCCAAGATAACAAGTTCCACCCAGCTCCACGGGGCTGGCTGTGGCCTTGCCTGGCCACTGGGGTCTCGGCCTCCCTTTCTGGGTCAGCATGTTCCCAGGCGGCTCTGGGGTGAGCAGGAAGGCAGCTGTGCACCCACATGCCCACCCGRGGCTGCCGCCCACCTGCTCCGTTACCAGCTCATCTGCCCAGCCCCAGGTTGGAAGATGAGCTCCTGGCCTCTGTGGGCCCCAGTGTCTTTGTCTGTGGCACAGGGACAACAGGCTGTCTGAGGGCCATCCCCAGGTTCTCCCAGCTGGGCACCACCACCGCACACAGCCTGCTGCTCTGGGGTGAGGGAGGCTGCCCTTCAGGGCACTGGACCTGGCAGTGAGCTTAGAGCCTCCACTGGCCTCAGGGCCTGAGGTCTGGGTCCCTCCTGCTTGGAGACTCCCTTGCTGACACCCCCTCCAGGTCCCCTCCCTGTTCATCCTGGAGAACGCTTGGTGACAGCCTCAGGTGTCCTGTCTCCACCTGCTCCCTCGCTCCAGCACTGGCCTTTCTGCGTTCCTCAGCTCTGTCCCCTTCCATGGCTCCCACGTCCCCTGCCTCTATCCGGCCCCCCACCCTGCCAGTTGCTCTTACATGGAACCCCRTCAGTGCTGAGCAGGCAGGGCAGTCACCAGCTCCCTGCCGCTGACCTCCTCAGTCTGGCCATCTCCCACCCCCGTGCTGCTTCCGTGTCTGGGACCCTGGCCTGATGCTGTGTGCCCACCTGGTGCCTCCTCACCAGAGCAAGCCCTTCAAGGTGGCCTCCCTACCCCACCAGGCCCCAGAGTTCCCCTCCTGCTGTTCCTGGGGCAGAGGACACCTTCAGAGCAAGAGTGGGGACCCTGCCTTCCTCACTGCCCCCACCCCAGGGGACACAGTGTGTGCAGCGGGACGTCTCTGGCAGCCCGCCTCACCCTTTCCGCCCTGGGCACCTGTGAGCCCCACGTGGCCTCATTTCTTCTGGGCTGACGTCGGGGCCCTGGCCGGGGGTCGGGGTGCGGGGCTGGCACCGTGGTCTTCATTTACTGGAACATGGTCCTAGGACAGGAGATGGTTCACTGCATGAGCAGCGCCCCCCGTTAAAGACAAAGGGAGGAGGAGATGACTCCCGGGAAGCCACGTGGCTTCCAGCTCCGTCCGGCCTTGCCCAGCGTGGCCGCGGCYCTCCTGCCCAGCGCGCACGAAGCCTGTGCCCTGTGTGCTCAGAACCGCTCCTGCAGGCAGTCTCCTCCGCTGCTGCCCGGTCTCTATCACCCTCGTCTTTCATGGCTGTATAATACTCCTCAGGGCATAATACTGCCCTGATTTGCACCTACCCGTCTGGCAGTGTGCCTTCTGTCACTGTCACTGTGTGTCTCTCTGCATTGCCTCCACTCAGCAGGCGTGGCTCTGGCTCCCACGAAGGTGGGAGCTTTGCAATGCCAGGGCTCAGCGGGCCCTGGGAAAGGCTCTTCCAGAGGGTCCTGCAGCCATCCTGCTGTGCCCCTGAGCTCCTGAGCCCACCCCTGCACTGGCCAGGTTTGTCCCTGCTGCTGTCTGTCCCTCTACCCTCTGTCCTTCTGTCTTTGTCTCTGGTTCTTTGTCTCTAAGCACATCTCTCTCTCCTTGTCAATGTCTGATTCTCTCTCTGCCTCTCTGTCTCTGACCTGTCCCTCCCTGGGTCACGCTGCTCACTCCCGGGTACAGAGGCACCTCTTGATCCACCAGTGTGTCCCCAGTTGCCAGGAGCTGTGCATGTCCCCTGTGCCTTGCTCAGGGTGGCTGCCCAGCACAGATTTCCTTCTTCCATAGCCTTGGCTGGGCCTTGACCTCTAAGGTCTCCTGTCCTGCTCCAGGTGCGGACGCCACTGGGCATCCCAGCAGGGGCAGCCGGACACCAGCCCTCCCAGGCCTGGGGCTGCCGAGCACTCCTCCCTACCTTCTCAGGGGAAGTGAGGTCAGAGAGGGCAGGAGTGTCCCTGGCCACAGAGGCTGACACAGGGCTGCTGGCAGGCTGGTCCTCCCGGCTCCTTCCCAGTTTGATGGGTGGCTCGGGGCCGTCTGCCCTCCTCCACTCTGCCCAGGCTCTCCCAGGGCCCTGATGAGGGGCATTTGGTGGGCATCATTGCCCTCCGGGTGGTGGCAGAAGTTTGAATTTCATGAGAAGCGTCCTGGTTTCTGTGGACCCTCCCGGGCCCTGTCCCTGAGGGCTGGGAACAGGCTGGGGGCTCCCCTGTCCCCAGCTGCCTGGAGGGGTGCGGCTGGGCCGCCTGCAGCCTTCCTTCTGGGAGAGAGCTGGCTCCTGGAGCCCTGTCGGACCTGAGCATGGGGCGAGCCGACACCCTGACATCCACACCACAAGGCCCGCCAGGCGCGGTGACCTCACGGGGAGCGCTTTCTCCCAAGGTGGCGTCAGGTTTTACTGCAAACAGGGCCGAGCAAGGAGCGGGTGCAGGAGCCAGCACGTCTACCCACGCTCAGGGCGTTCTGCTAAGAGGCTGTGCGGCCTCAGTGCCCAGGGCTGAGGCCACCGGAATTCAGGCCCACGTAGCCTCCAGGCCAGTGCTGTCACAGAGCACCAGGCTGTTCTGTTTGGGGACACTGCCTGGCAGGCAGCCTGGGCAGCATCTGCAGAGAGGGTGCTGGACCCACTTCACACTTGGGAGGGCCGGGAACTGCTGAAGCCCTGCCAGGTTGTCAGAGGCTGGGGTCAAGGGTGGGCAGGGACCCTGTCAGTCTCCTGGGCCCGGAAGGGGGAGCTATGGGCTCTTTGGCTTCTCCTGTGGCTGCACAGACTGGGCACCCCAACCCTGCAGCCAGCCTGTCCAGGTCATGCCCTGCACTGCCTTGGAGAGCAGGCTGGGTAGGCCAGGGCCACCCCAGGCAGGGCCATACCAGACTCAAACCCTTTGCCGTATGGCCAGGAGATCTGTGGTGTGCTGTCCCTGGACAGGGCTCTTTGGGGGATTGCAGGACAACATGTGCGTGTGAGCATGTCTGTGTCATATGTGTGATTATGACAGTAGCCACACGTGGGAGACTGTGTGTGTCCCTGGGAGTGCCCACATGTGTGTACATGTGAGTGAATGTGACGGTGTATGTTGATGTGGGAGAGCGCACACCTGCTGGGATTGAATGCACACTCAGGTGTTCCTATCTGCAACTGTGTGTGCATGTGTGCACGGAAGTGATTGTGTGTCTTATTCGTGTGTGCATGTGTGTCTATGTGCATGCAGATGTGCTGTGTGTGCCTGTGGGTGTGTCTGTGTGGTGTGCACACGTAGTGTGTAAGCACGTGAGAGCGTGTGCAGCGTGTTGTGCGGGTGCTGGGCTGTGACCTTGCTGGTTGGGGGTTGGGCTCTGGAGCTCCTCATGTGGCCACCTGTGACCTTGAGTGAGACTCAGCCTCCCTGGCCTTGACCTGCTCCCTGCTTGGTGCCAGCAGCCTCGGCAGCTGCGCCTGGACCCTGCCGGGTGCAGGTGGGCTGTGTCACAGCAGATCCCAGCTGGTGCATCTGCCCCGTCGTCCCTCCTGGGAGAGTGGATGCCAGGCACGGGGACAGCCCCTTCCCCATGGCCTGCGGCCCCTCTGGAGCTGTGCACTTCACCTGGCTGCCCTCGTCCCTGCTCCCAGGAGGCCACCCACCCCTGTACAGGCAGGTGCTGCCTGGGCCCAGACTTCCCCTCCAGGAGGGGAGGAAGCTTCCTCAGGAAGCAGGGCTTTTGGTGTCCCCAGGCCTGGCGGGGTTCTGGTCTCTGTGACCTTGGTCATGTGAGTGAGCTCCTGGGGGCTCATGACCCAAGTGAGGCAGCAGAGAGGTGGCCCTGGTATGCACAGCAGCAGGGGAGACCTGCCTGTCCCCGCCTCCCAGCAGAGGCCCTGGTGGCAGGGACAGGGTGTAACTTGAGTGTACTTGCTCTGGGGTTGGCTCGTGACAGATGGGTGATAAAGGGTAGAACATAGTTCCTGGGGCCTGGGCCTGGGGAGTGTCACCGCCATGCCACACTGCTGGGGAGGGTGCCTGTCTGACGGGTGCTGCCCCTCACTCYGGGCCACATGGGGCCCCAAAGCCCTCTGAGCATTCTTGGGGCTTGTCCAAGTGCCCCACCTCATCTTGAAGCTGTTGGGAGCTGGTGACAGCCCAATGCCACGTCTCTCCACCTGCCATCCCTCCTCGAAGCCCCGGCCCCTCCCCGGCCTCCAGGGCCTGTGGAGGAAGGAGCTCACTGCCTGCTCTGCTCCCTCCGAGCCGCCCGCTTACCCCCACAGCCTGGCACCTGTGTCTACATCCTTGCCCAGGGCGCTGGCCAGGCCCAGGTCCAGTGCCTAGCCTGTGCAGGCTCCAGTGCCCAGCCGGTGCTGCCAGCRGGCCTCTCCTCGGCTCTGACCACCAATGGACACCCTGTTTGGCACTCACAGCTGCTCCTCGTGTACCCCCACTCCGAAGCTGAGCCCGTGGGCATGTAGGACCCAGGCCCACAGTCCTGGAGGGCAGGCACTCGGAGCCTGGTGAGTAGCGGGCTTTCCTGCTGCACCACCTCCACGGCACTCTACAGGGGCTGGGGACGGGCCAGGCTCCTTGGAGACCTCCTGGGAGAGTGAGGAGGCTCGTGAGCCACACACGCACGCACACACACACACACACACACACACCCCACCTGGGCTCTGGCAGTGTCCCACCTGTCTCAGGGGAGCTGGCCCACCTGCTGCGTCCCACACGCTGTTGATCATCAGAGCCTCACCCGGGCGGGCGGAACCGGAGCTCTGAGGCCGCTCACAGGCGGGCAGAGAAGTTTCCATTACAGAAACACAGGCAGTGGCCTCAGCAGCCCTGAGGGCCTGGCTGCCCGGGGGGCCTCTGAGAGGGGATTGTGGGAGGCTGTCACTACGGGGCCCCAAGCCCGTGACTGTCCCAGTCACCTAAGCAGTTTGGCTAGACGAGCTGAAGCTGCAGAGCCAAGCTGTGCCTTCTCCCCGCTGGAAAGAAGCAGGAAGCCAGGGACGCCCCACTGACCTTCTCTCTGCAGGTGGGGGGCCAAGCTGGGGTGCGGGGCACAGGGCTCCCAGAGGAGGCAGAGCCCGCAGGCAGCTCCCCAGAACACGCTTCCAACTTAAGCCGGAGGCAGAACTGGGGAGCCCCTGGCTGCTCTGTCCATGGCTGCGCTCACTCAGACACCTAATGGCCCTGGCTTGGGGACAGGGAGCAGGGCTGGCCTGGAGCAGCTCTCACCATCCAGGGGTGTCTGGAGCCTCTGTGTGGCTGAGAGGCCCTTATCCAGCTTCTGCCCCCAATGGGCTGGCTCCCGCCTCCCCAAGATGGCCGAGGCTTGGGGGCAGGGTGTAGGTGAAGGGCACAGGCTGGGGGTGTGGGTGAAGGGCACAGGCTGGGGGTGTGGGTGAAGGGCACAGGCTGGGGGTGTGGGTGAAGGGCACAGGCTGGGGGTGTGGGTGAAGGGCACAGCCT